CATTTGCTGTTTACTTAATATAAACATTCACTGTATATTATGATACCTCTTATAGAGTCTCTTATTTGCAAGCTAATTTCTTTTCTTCATTTGCATTTAAGCCTTAGGGGAAGTTATGAAATGGGTAAAATGTGAAGACTGAAGCTCATTACTTCCTTCCAGAGGGTTCTTGGTGGGAAGTATTGAAAATACAGAAAGAGCAGGTATAAAACCTGCCCTCCTATCTTTGTGCTTGCTGGGGTGCAGATGGAAGACAGAAGCAAGGCCAGCAGATGGCCTGAGGTGTGTTTCAGTTTCATTCCCAGGCTGGGCCCATGTGGAGGACATGTACTGATTGGTTAACCGAAGAGCAGCTTCTTACCTTTCTTGAAGATTGGGGTGGCTGGAAGAGAATCATCCTTCGTGATGTCCTTTTGCTCATTTGAGCATGAGCATTTCAGAGAGAATTCAGCAACACATCATGGTTATCAAAGGCTGACAGTAGGCCAGAGATATTTCTCTAAAACTGTCCTTAATTCTACTGTGTTGTGAAGGACATGAACCATAGCATTTCCCTGAAGTGCATCGCATCATGGTGAGAGATGTGGTCACTTTGTAGAAGAGGCTGCAGAACAGCCGGCTTGGACCGTGACTGCATAGGGAGGTTAATCTGAGGCAAAGAGAAGTCCGCAGTGCCTTTGGGGATGGGAGTGCGGGCAGGTTAGAGAGGAGACTGTGTGGTCCAGGCTGAGAACCAGGGTAGGAATGAGATCACCTGCAAAACAGCCGTGGAAGCCCCTCGGAATATCTCAACACTTGTGTGAGGAATAAAGGAAGAGGTAAAACATCTGAAATGGAATTTATCCAAAGGAGCCACTGACCAGAGTGACTTTAGATGGGTGGCTTTAAAGAAAAATATGGCTAGTGTGATGAGGAAAATCAGATGAAAAAGAGTAAGCAGCATTTCTTTGTGAGTCATTTTTAAAGCCACAACAATAGCCAGCAGAGAAGAGTCTACATCACCACAGTCCGGGGATGATGAAGGTCAAAACTTCTTTACTGTAGCTGCCTTCAGGCTGTGGCCATGCCACACTGTACACACCCCATCTCATCTGTTGCTACTGCCAAACATTCCTGCGTCAGCCTACAAATGTAGCTGTAGTTAGAGATGTGATAGTTCAGGTTTGTGGGGAACCAGAACGAGTCTTGCTGTTTGTCCCAAGAGTATCAAATGAAGCAAATTTCTGATTTTTGTTTTGTGATCCAGAAGCCTCTCCTAGAGACTGTAGTGATCTCTTAGTTGCTGTGTAACCTGTTTGAAAACCTAAGTTCTCTCTAGGATGTGGACCAGTGTGTGGACTTTCAAGCTCCACTGTGGGTGCTCGGTCGGGGTGAGGAAGCCAGGAACTGAAATGCTCTTGATGCTGCTTCTGAGCCATAGACATCCAGACTGGAGGATGGAACTCTCGGGGTGTGCCGGGACTGATCCCCTCTGGACTCCCAGCTGCCTGTGGGTTTTCTGTGCATCCAGCCAGTGGAGAAGGCATCAAGGGATTGTGGCTGGGATCCATTCTGTTCACAGCATCTATGAGTGTAATATGACAGTAATCATCTGCTTACTGTCTTCTCCATTACGTTGGAACACCACAGGAAAACCGATGTCTGCTAGGGGTGTAGCCCTAGGGCACAAGTGACTGCCTGGCAGGCGCAAGGCGCTGAGTTTGATTCCTGGTGCCAGCAAAACAAACAAAACAAAACAAAACAAAATAACTGATGTCTGTTGAGCTTTGTCCACCAATTCTTAGCATGGTGTTTGGTGTATACTAGACATTTAGTGAATATTGTATGAATCCATAAATAATTAATGAGGTGGTGTTAATAGTTCTTTTTCTGTCTGTGAATGAATTAGAATTTATTTCTGAATTAATTTTTACTGTAAGTTACAGTGTCACTTAAATTTATGTAGACAGACTATTTTATTTTATTTTTGGTACTGGGAATTGAGCTCAGCACCTGTGCTTGCCATGCACCTGTACCACTGAGCTGTATTCCAGCCCCAGACTGTTTTAGTAGAATATAGTAGATGCACTCACTGGTGTGCCAGCCCTGTTAGGTAAGTTCTGGTTTGTGGCATCTTCCAGTCTCCATCGTCTTAACAATCCTTATCATGGCTGATGTCAGGATGTCCACCATTACACTGTGCAATGTGGCACTGGATGGAAATGTGCACAAAAGCTTTTTGTGAGTCACTGACCATCCTGAAGGGCTTTCATGTGCCTGTCTAGGACTGCCTGCCCCTCAAGCACAAGCACTGTGCTAGTGATACACATGCAACAGAACATGTACTTTAGAAAGACTCATGAGTTAAGGGCAGATCTTGGTGGCACATCCGTGCCACTGTGAGTGCCTAGTGGAGGGCACCTGCCGAGTCCCCAGGCCGGTTTCCAGGGCCCTTCTTTCTGTGGCCCCTGGCTTGCTAAGGTCTGAGATTTTGTAGGTCATAGAAGAGACACATGGCAATCCACTTACAGTCTACTGGCCGACATGGAGCCATGTGGCCATGCTCACTGCTAGCCACCGGGCAGGTGGGAAATGCAGTGCGTAAGTGGAACACAAACTGAGCTTGTGAATAGTTAGCCAGAATCTTCCAGTTTTCTGTGGCAGGATTATGCTGATACATTTACATTCTTTCACCTTATTATCTGACAAATACATTTATAAATAAGCTGATAACAGAAGTAGAGGCTGGTAAATTCTTTTTCTGTGCAGAGTTAACTGGATCGTATGAGCTTAGGATGTGATCTCAACAGCACCAGTTTTCACCCACAATTCTTCCTTTTTTTGAATTGTTTTATTATTTTTATTGCTATTGAAACAAAAATCACAGAATTTACAGAATTCGAGTCCTTTAAATTATTGATGGCACCTAACATAATTTTTTTTGTTTTGCTTTTTTGACTACAGTAAAAAAATTTTTTTTGGTGTTTTTTTTTTTTTTTTGGTCTTTTTCATTTTTTTTATCGGTACCGGGGATCAAACTCACAACCGCCTGCTTGCAAGGCAGGTGCTTATGCCGCTGAGCTAAATCCCCAGCCCCTTGGTGTTTTTGAGATAGGATCTTGCTATGTAGTTCAGACTGGCCTTAAACTCACTATGTAGCCCAGGCTGGCCTTCACCTTGAGGCAATCTTTCTGTCTCAGCCTCCTGAGTGCGGGAATTAAAGATGTGTGTCATCATACCTGGCCTTTCATGAATGCTTACCATTTTTGTATTTTTAAAAAGGTATTCAAGTTCTTCTCCCTTTCAACCCCATTAAGGATTTTTTGGAAAGGCACCATGTAACAAATTCGGGTCATTAGAGACACTACCTTTAATGGTGCTGTATTACTTGCACAAAAGAAGGATACCTTGCATGTTAGAATATGAAGACACTAGGGGCTAGCAGTTTAGGAGGGACCAAGTGTTCTAGTCAGAAAAAAGGTACTCAGTGTGAGTGATCCAGAGTTTGTAAGCCTGTTAACACACAGAGTCTTTAACAGGAATCAAGCATCTTTCATACTTGATGCTTACTTACAGTGATAGCCACTAACTATTAATAAATGAGGAAAAGGTAGCCCATCATACTTTCATCCTTTTCTCACTTTGGGTCACACAGAAGGAATCTGCCTGTATAATCAGTACTTCACACTATGTAAACTGAGGAGGCTGTCCAGGGACTTGTTTGGCCTTACTTCGTGCTCTGAGGAGCACATTTGTAGCCCATTCAGCACAGTGATGCTGTTGAACTATGCAAACAAATAGGAGCTAAGATAATGGAAAATTAAGCAAACATATAAGTGATATTTTATTAAAAAATCATTGTTTCAGTTGAAAACACCATGTTGGATCTTTTATTATGATTATGACTACTGTTCTGATTTACTTGTGGAAAAATATTTAATAGCATGTAGAGCTGGGTAAGATTCAGTATTAAACAAAAAACATCAACACTCACTTGATATATGAACATGCCTTTTATTTTGTAGTAGTAATTTAGTTTTTTCTGATTAACTGAAAAAGATTTTTCAGAGAGTGCAAAGTTTTCTGGTTATACAGATATTAATTATAAGATTAAAAAAATCAAGAATAGGGTGATTATTACCAAGTTTGGGGATATAAGGAAAAGACTGTTGTTTTTCTATTAAGTATAGTTTTCACTTTTGCAAAAGATGTGTTGGAGATCTATTTTGTGTATGACCGTATTAAACATTTCTGAAGTGTGTAGTTAAAAAGTTTTTTTGCACTTTAAAGATCAAGTGTATTACTATAAATTTTAAACAGTTAATAGGTATTTATTGAAAAGAACAATATTCCTAGCTTTATTTTAGCCACTAAGATCTGCTTAGAAGAAATAAAATTCCTCTCAAGAAGCACCTAATATGCTTGGTGATACAGATTATTCTAATTTATTAATTTGCTAATTTCCTTGAAGTCTAACATATAACAGGTATTTTGCTAGATATTTTATATAAATTACTTTTACAGAAAATTACTTATATAAATTATTTTATATAAATTACTCAAAACAATGTGAGAAAGTAAGTTACTGTTTTTATCTCCTCACTTTTGTTTTGTTGTTGAGGAAACTAAATTTTGTAGATAAGAAGGTTCAATATGTTGCTTGAAGGTTGAAAAATTTGTTTGACTCAAGTATTTAGCTTCAAAAGTCATTTTGTGTATACAACACCATACTTCTAATTAAATAAGAAATAGAGTGTACAAATAAACAATTAGTAATTTGACACTCTAGTTTGGTATTTCTACTGTCAGAAAGAGTTGTTTATTTCATTATAATTATTCAGACAAAGTTTAAAGAAAAGTTAAATTATTTAATTTATAGTATTGGTTAATCTGGATTCATTTTAACTTAGAAGGACAACCATATAATTTCTTTTGGTTTGAATTATTGTCTTTTTTTGATTGTTTTTAACTTTCAGGAACACTAAAACACTAATTTCTTTTCTCCATGTCTTCATGTGCAGGTTATGTGGGTCTGTAATTTGTGCCGAAAACAACAAGAAATCCTCACTAAATCTGGAGCGTGGTTCTATAATAGTGGATCTAATATGCCGCAGCAACCTGATCAGAAGGTTCCCAGAGGAGTAAGAAATGAGGAAGCGCCTCAGGAGAAGAAAGCAAAACTCCAGGAGCAGGCCCAGTTCCCAGGACCCCCGGGCGACTTGTCTGCACCCATAGTGGAGAAGAGTCGCCCTCACGGGCTCACAAGACAGGAGTCTATTAAAAACGGGTCAGGGGCAAGGCACCAAGCTGCCAGTGACACCGCTTCAGACAGGTAAATGTTTTGCTTATTCTTGAGGTAAACATGTTATTCTTAATGTTTATTCCAAATAAACCGAAATAGGTGAGATGTTTGGGTGAGAGTAGGTCACCTAAACAGAATGTACATCTCTTTGTTTTCTGTGAATGCCAATGTGATGCTGAAGTTTTAGTTACGGTAGATTTATGTTATCTTATGTTTGATGCAGAAGTATTATCAGATAGATTTCCCAGAATAAAAAGGGAAATAAGACAGGGTTACATTTTTATTGTTTTAAATTGAAGCCTGATTGGGAAATATCTCATAGGAGCCTTGGTTTGCCTTTCTTTATTTAAAGACATAGGACATTTATTCCTATGTTTATTAACGATTCTCACATATTTCCTTTTGTGAACAGAGTATGTTACTTTTTTTTGATACTTTTTAGGTTTACTTTAAATTACTGAACTTTTAGTGTGCTTCATAATCCTTTTTAAAAGCTATACACTGAAAATACCTTCTCTTGAAATTTCTTGAAATATATCTTGGTTAAACAGTTTAATGGCATTTTTTGATCTGCAAAGCTTTTATTTTGATATTTACTTTATTATGCCTAGAGGTTTCTGTGTCATATCTCAGAAGTTGTCACCTACCTGAAAGTTCAGATGTTGTACTCTTTTCTAGCAATTTTGTAACTTTAGCCTAAATCAAGAACAAAACAGTATTTTCCTGTATTTGCCTGTGAGTAGTTTTATACTTTTAGATTTTACATTTCAATCTATGATCTATTTTTTAGTTAGTTTTTTTATGGTAAAAAGGGTAAGCTTGAAGCATCCTTTAAAAAAAGTTTTCTGTGGGAACAATCAGTTGTTCCAGGACCATTTATTGAAAAGATGGGGAGGAAACCAAGTTATGACACCAGAGCCTGGAGCTAGCCCCTCCACTGCACGTACTTGAAGTGATGTTTCTCTGCTATGTTTCCTTTAATGCTTTATCAAAAGTTAATGATCTATGTTTGAGCATGTTTGTGTACAGAGTCTCCTTCCATTTTGTTTTATTGATCTATCTTTATGACAGTACCACACTGTTTTTGTTATTGTAGTCTTTTACTATCTTTAAGTATTGTTAGAACTCTAACTTTGTTCCTTTTAAAAGCTATTTGGTAACTTAATCATTTCTGTTTAAATTTTATAGTCTTTCTTTAAGTGTAGTTTTGATTTATTTTTCCATGACTTTGTACTTATTCACACAGAAGTGTATCTGTCACTTCTATACAGTAGAAATACTGTAAAGTGAGCTTCTTGTAAGCAACACATAGTTGGATCTTGTTTTTTTGTAAATCCATTCAGATAGTCTGTGTCTTTAAATTGGAATACTTAATCCCTTTTTGTTTAATTATTTATTGATAAGATTATTTTGTACTAGTCACTTTGTAACTTGGTTTCTAGTTTTATTATTGTTTTTCTTTGTCATTTACTTATTTTTTAGACTGTCAAGTAAAAATGGTATATTTATAGTGTCTGATATGTTTTCATATATATATATATACATACACATTGTAGAATGGGCAAATCAAGCTATTTAATGTATTTATTACTTGATATATTTATTTTTGTGGTGAGACTTAAAACTTGCTTTTTAAGCAATTTTCAAATATATAATACTCTGTTATTAACTGTAGTCATGTGTAATACTTTTCAACATGTTTCAATAGTATACATTGATGGAGCCTAGTGTGCTATTTCCATATGTTCATTAGTATGGTTAAATGATTTAATTTAAGAGTGTTTTGATTCCTTATGATTTTCATTTGTTTATTATGGACTGTGCTTTGTGGTCACCATAAAGCTTTCAAATCATCTTTTGATTATAAGAAGCTATTTGAAACAGTACTTTGAAATAACAGCTATTTGAAACAGTAGATGGTCATAAAGATGAGAAACTAAGAAAGGCAAAATGTTTTAATAAACTCTGCACTTGAATTCCTTTCAGGTACACATTTTGGATTTTTGATGCTCCGTTTTACATTTTCTTTATTTTTCATTACTTAACCTATTAATGTAGTTATTGTCTTGACTATTTTGATCTTAATGCTAAAGATACAAATGATGGATGTCTCAGGTTTATAATGTTAGAGCATTCTGATTTTGCCTGTGTTATTTCTCTTGCCAGTGAGTTTTATACCTTACTCATTATTGTCTAGTTCAGTTTGAAGATCTTCCACTAACCTTTCTTTTTCTTTTCATAGTCATTTTCTTTTTTTCCCCTTACAATTTCAGCGCCAGAGAGTGACACAGGCCTAGTTAATGTGGCCACAATAAACTGTGGGAGTACCTTCAGAGGCTAGTCTTCCTCCCCCCAGGTCTGTTGGCAACAGGGGTAGACCAGAGAGCTCACCCTCAGTCCGGGGCCTGTGGTAAGCACTGTGCCCTGCTGCCTGCTCTGCTGCTGTCCCTTTGAGTACGTGCCGTTGGAGGGGCTAGCTCCAGGCTCTGGTGTCATGACTTGGTTTCCTCCCCAAGCAGATCATGCCTCTCTATGTGTTTGCACTTGTGGGACAACAGGGTGGGCAGTCCTATGGCCCCAGCATCGTGACTCTGTGTCACATCCAATCCCACAGCCTGCCAAGACCAGCCCAGCATTGTGGCACCAGGCCCATGCTCCTGTGAGCTGCCCACTTCTGGGTAGACTGTTGGCCTGCACTGTGATAGGTAACCACAGGAGAGTGCACAGGAACAGAGCTGCCCGTCTTGCCTGTCAGTGGAGCTGTTCTAGAAGCTCCATTCCCTGGCACTGGCCTGAAAGTGGGGGCTTTTAGGTCTCCTTGGTGTTAGAAGATTTCACTGGTCCAGTGCATGAAGTTTTAAGTTATGCTACTGAAGTTGGGTAGTTTTTGTGATGGCAGTCCCTTGGCCATTCAGAAAAATAAAAATATTTCTTGGAAAATATTGTGCACTTCTCCCTGTCTGAAGACTGTAACATGAGTCTCATGAATCTTATTTAAAGTTATCTTAGATATATAGTGAGAAAAATAGCATGAACATGAGGGAAATAAAAAGGTGTAAAGGGAAGATGTTTTTAAAGAGGGAATCCAAGTATGGTTAAAAAAAGATTAAAATATAAAAGAACTAGAAAAGACAAAACTGATGATTGCCATAGGAGAAAAAAATAATCTTAGCTTGGAAGCAAATGAGTTCTTAACCTTTATTCCTAGATATTTCTTCTTAATCTCTTTAGATTATCAGATAAAACAAAAAAGGCAATAAAGCTGTCTATGCATTTGGCAACTATTCTCAGTGGGTTATTCACATTCAGTAAATACTAGGTGCATTTGATGAATAAGCAAGAGATCTAACACTGTACTTAACATGACAGATGTGCTTTCTGCAGCATCTTCACCTTTTATTTCAGAGTGATCAATCAGTGTACTTGAAGATAGGTAATATGTTCTCACATAGCCAAGAAAGTTTGTGTTAGCATCTCTTTGCTTCTTTTTTGTGAGAATCATTTTGATTTATATCTTGTACCGAGTGACTATTTTGAAGGTAATGATACACAGTGCAATAGCTGTTTATTCTCATTGCTTTATTATGAAAATATTTCACTTTTTTCATAAAACAAAAATAAAAAATATGATTTGAGCTTTTAAAGATGAAGTCTTTAAAATGATATTTAAAAAGCTTGTGTATATTCATAGATACTCTCTAAATATACAAGTATATATTTATAAATTGCACATATATGGCTACATATATATTCCTTTAAACTGATAGTATATTATATCCTTTTTTTTCCTTTTTCGTGTATGTGTTTAGTTGCATTGTCATTGCTGCTTCAAGTCCTGAATTGTTTCAAAACATTTCCCCTTCATGGTCATTTTAACTTTGGAGAAGAGCCAGGAACCTTACAGTGTCAGATCCAGTGACTAAAGTAGATGAAGACACCTACTAGGGTTTTTATTTGACAGAGATGACCATAAATAGTTGGTCAAAAATCAAGGTTATAAAAATACAATAAATGTTTAAATACAAAAATTATTAGTAAAAGAACACATTGATTTCAGTTTCACTCAGAATAGTTCCCCTTGTTTTTATTCTGTGATTCTTGACAGTGTAATAAGGCTTTTTAAAACTTTAAGCATTCAGTGTATGTCTTGATCACTCTGTGTATTTGTAGCATTCTAGTTTCATTATTTTTTATTGAACAGAATATGTTGGTCTTTCTTTACCATTCAAAACAAGGTACTTCACTTTAATTTTCAGTGGATATATCATATTTATTCAGTTCTGTTGATACTTTAGAGTATCACCTTGCTTTTGTTATTTCAAAGACTTAGAATCAGTAATCTTGTATTTATAATTTTTTGTAAGTGTAAATCTATAGGATAAACTATTTTAATTCCCAAAAATAGAATCAGTTGGTCAAAGTATACATATATACAGTTTTAAATTTTTATATACATTGTTAAAATGCCTACTATCCATGATGTATCAAAATTGAAATCATCAATTATAATCAACTATTAGGATTCTTATTTGATAGATGTTAAACCAATACAGTTATAGAAAACTCTGATCTTTACCAGTCTGATTGGGAAACATGATAGCCCATTATAGTTTTAATCATTTTTATAGCATAATTGAGTCTACTTGAGCATTTCTGTGAGTAAAGACTTAAATATTTTTCAGAGTTTCTGTTCATAACTGTTTCCATTTATCCTATTGAGTTTTTGGTCTGTATTTAAATGTGTTAGCTTCTCCATTTATTTTATTTTATTTTATTTTTTTTTGTCTTTTTCATTTTTATTGGTACAGGGGATCAAACTCACGACCGCCTGCTTGCAAGGCAGGTGCTTATGCTGCTGAGCTAAATCCCCAGCCCTCAGCTTCTCCATTTACATTATAGAAGATAACCTTTTGTGGAATGGATTGTATATTGGCTTTTACTGCCATGTAAAAAATGATTGCAGAGGGAGTGGCTTAACACAACACAACACAACACACAGCACAGCACAACACAACACAACACAAGTTTAT